TTGTCAAATTTTTATGATATCGTCAAACATATATTTTATTCAAAAATAAAAACATTATCGCTTTCTCAAAATCATATAAAGTCATATTATAACATCGACTGAGATAAAGAATAAAATGAAATATTAAAAACACGATGTATCTCGCTGCATTGCGCGAGTACGCTTCTAGTATATCTAATATGAAATATATTATGTTTACATCTCATTTATTCTCAAAATACAGTTTTCTTCTATTGTTTTTTTTGTTACACCTTTGGAAGGCAAGGAGTGTGACAGCATACATGCTTCCCTTTACTCCACAAATTGCAAATACTAATTTGTTAAGAATTAATCAGATTGAAACTCATGCCCCAGGAATCCTAGACACAGGGGGTGCGAACTATTTTTTCCCGGTTTTCAATTCCTCTCCGGCGAGGTTAGCTGGCCAGCATCAACGAGCAGCGGGTCAGTAAAAAATATGCTAGTGTTCTTTTGTCAATTTTAATTTCAAAATGACTTGTGAAACTGAGAAAATAAGGTTGCATGTCCGTGTTGGAGGAACATGGGAAAAAGTTAACGATGCTATGGAGTATGTATCTCTAAAAGTTATGCAACATGACGTACTTTTGGCATACAACATTAGACATTCAAAGTTGGTTAGCTATGTTGCAAAAATAAATGAAATAACTAGTGCCTTTTAGGTTATCGTACAATTATGATGAGTGTATTTTTTTTTAGTTAGCCGACGATATCGGTTTATGGATTTTGCTGTCGTGTTAAGAAGACCGTCTATACTTTATGTGTCGGTCGAAACTTCTGTTAGTGGTGGTATTTGATCAAGTAGAGTAAGCAATGTCGGAGGAGGTTCCAACCCACCTCCGATCAATGAGGCTCAACATCAATTTGTTCATTACAGTCAGTCTATTTATCAAAGTCAATAGCAATTTGCTCCTCAAAATCAACCTCTATTTTTTGATCAACAACAGTTTCTACCACACGAGCAGACTCCGTATGTGCCCCAATTTGTGTCCCGAAAGGAGCCTTCTTATGGTTATAACAATGACTAGATTCCCGAGACGGAAGAAACTGATAAATATGCTAATGTTCTTAAATTGGGTATACCTGAGATCAATTCAGACTCTGAAGATGGTGAAGAAGAAGGAGTAGGAGAACAAGAACATATTTTTTTTTTCACAGCTAAAATAAATTGTCGATAAATTAAAGATTATTATAAATTAAACTAGATTGAAATGATTAAACAAATTGATTACGATGTGTAAAGATGACTACTTAAATTGCGAAAATATTAAACGACAGTCATGATATAAATAAATACGGAGCAACACTCTTGCAGCATCCCCTCTGAAATTGCATAAAATATCTAACAATTAGCAATTAAACTCAAACAATTAGGTGGCGTTTGGTTCGCATAATGTGAATGAATCTGATGAAATTGGAATGTTTAATTCCTTTGACGAAATTACATTCCATTGTTTGGTTCATTCTTTTCTTTGGAAGGAATCTCTAAAATCCATCAGATTTCACAACCAAAGAAATTGAACATTCTTTAACAACTACATGATATTTTGATGGAATGAAATTTTATATTTTCTTAATACCAAATATACCCTCACCCCAATATAACCTAATGTCATAAAACACAATATGACCTAATCTAATAAACAAGAAGCCGACACCTCCAAACTCGATTTCTTATGGGTTCTGCATCGAACTCCATCACAAACCAAACTTCAATCACATAACCAGGTTCAATTTATACTTGATACCTCTATTCAATTTCACTAGGTTCTCTATCGCACTCTCTATTCGTTTTCTATGTGGTTGATTTATGTCTAGTTGATTTCTGTCATATACCAGACTTTGACATTGTAGAAACCATCGATAAAGCAGGTCGATTTCGAGATTTGAACTCGATTTTTGAAATTTGTTTTCTCTTCTCGATTTGAAGTATAGAATCTGTGATAAATCTATATATAAATCTATTTTGTATATAATCGTTACAAATTTGTATATAATCTATTTTGTATAATCTGTATAAAAATCTGTTTTGATAAATCTATGAGGGTGAATTCAAAAGATTTGTCTATAATTTTCTACAATCTGTTTTGTTGAACGCATTTATTTACAAATTAAATTTATCAAAAAGGGTATTTTAGTCATTTACCATAATTTCATCCCAATTTTATAGGTACATTCTATGAACCAAACATACATATTCCAATTTCTTTAACGGATTCAATTCCAGTTCTGCCAAACAAAAGGTGGTTAATCCTGACAACATTCCATTCCAATTCATTCAAAGTCAAATTGTTTTGACATATTCAATTACATCCAAAAACATTTTGCAAACCAAACGCCATCTTAGGCTCTTATACTACATTTATATCATAAATAAAAAACTGAGATATTTAGTTAAAAAGACTAAAAGTTTTAGATTTTTAAGGAACTACACTAACGAAAAACAACATAGAAGTGGCCGAGAACATAAATTAAGTCGATGTTTATCATGGGTTGTCAATATTATACAAAATACACCCTCCATTGCGATGTGTGGATGTATTAAATTATGATAGAGCTTTGACAAAAAAAAAAGCAAAAAGTCAGACGACACATTTGGTTGTGCGACTTACATCTGCTTCACAAGAGTGTTTATGTCGTTTTCTCATTTGATATAATTTTAGGGTTTTATACCTCTTTTAACCTTCAAAATTTTCAAACCCCTCATTTTGGATTTAAAATGCATTCGTAAGGGTATTTGAAGCATGTCACTTGAAATCAAGCAGTTTTTCGGATCAGATTGACATTATCCTCGTTTCCAAAATTGCTTTGATGGGGGTACAATTGATGTTTGTCAAGTGATGACCAATTAATATGATGTTTAGTATGATTGTCCTTCGAGTGGCTTCAATTGCATATATAAGAGTTAGGACTGTTTACCAAACACTTACTTGTGTAAACACTTACCAGCAAAATTTAACATTATCACTTAGTTACCGGGTAAAATTTTAGTCTACCGAAACAGTATCATATGCAACGATTTACCCAGTAAGCGCTAACTGTGGTAAGAGTCGCCACCCTCACTTATCGGGTAAGATTCTTTGCCACATTCACCCGGTAAAGTGATGTGACTTGATTGGTAAGCGTTTACCCGAGTAAATCTAATAGAATACCATAAATCTGATAGAACTAGATATTATAACTTGCTCCTACGACACATGATTATATACACATAAAATACCTAATGGGATGGTTCAAGATAACCCTATTAATTTTAGAATTCAACTGATGTTGAACAAATAACCCGTTGTTGGTTTTACTAGAGATCTAAACCGATAAGATACGGTTCGTATATCGCTATACGTATTTTTACATATGTATCGAATGTACATATAAACCAAATCCATTAGATTTCTAACAAGATTTAAAAATACTTAACTTTTTGAGAAATCCTTCATTAGTTGTAAATAATTTAGTTTTCCAACATTTCCGATACTAGTTCTATAGGGAGCAGGTTATAACATATAGTTCTATTAGATTTAGAATTGACGAAATGTAGATGTACGCGAATCTATGAAAAATACACAACACGTATTATTAATATCGACGAAAACACAGTAAGGATAAGTTTTGTTTAATTTTCAAAAGCTCATAATATTTATCGATTTTCGGAACAACACAAAAAAACCCGCTCATATATATATATATATATATATGACATAATATGCATCCGTGTACAGTTACAATGGATACAACCATTAATTGCTAAATTTGAACATGAATGTAAAACTGATTTCCAAATCTTTTCAGATCAGATTAATCTATGACAGTATTCCACGTGTTATTTTTGGATAAAGCATATAACGTTTTTTTAATGAAATAATCCAACATGGTATATTTCATGTACCCATTTCACAATTATTTACAAAAGTTGGAATGGTTTTTCATTGATTTACAAAATTTGGATGATTTTAGCAATGGTTTTTAAAATGTAGTGAATAAACTATAATTAAATAAAGAGTAAAATACGTAAAATAACAACTTGTTTTTTATAAATTTTTTTATTATAACATTTTATTTTTAGTTTTTCTTATTACAATAATGTACTTTCAAAATATTTTTTATTAGGATTTCGTATTTTAAAAAGTTTACCCGTTATAGCATTGGATGACCTGTCACATTTTGAACAAGGTTTTTCTTTGTTAACGTGTCAAACTTAAAATGACATGAAAGTCATATAGGATAACCTGCTAAACATGGGATAACTTATATGTCATTTAAAAGAAAAATCTAATTTAATGGGTAATTTAATTTAAAAGGTTACCCAATGCTATAACTTACATGGGATAATGTACATGTAGACAACCTATATGGACGATGAGGTGACAAAAAAACCTAGTATAATGGATAAATTTAATTTAAATGTTACCTAATGCTATAACAGATAAATTTTTGAAAGTACAATGTTTTAATAAAAAATATTTTAAAAGTACATTGATGTGATAAGAAAAACTGAAAGTAGAATGCTATAATAATTTTTTTTATAAAAATAGGTTGTTATAAATTGTAATTAATTTTGGGAATTTTCTATCAATTTTAATAGTTTAGGGGTAATTTATGCAATAAGTCAAAACAATTGGGGATGTAAATGTGAATTTTTCTTTTTACAAGCGAGCAATTTCTGTATTTATATCAAGAAAAACCCCGTCTCGAACTTCAACGACCACCGTGTTCATACTCCCTGCCCTAAACTTCTTGCGTTCACAGCCAATTCCCAAATCCGAAAATCGGAGTTCTGACTTATTCATGTGCATTTACCCAAAAAGGAGATTACGATGTGAAATGAAATCGAATCAAGCGTCGAAGAACAACCATATATGGCAGTGGGATAGATGAATTTTGCAACTATACGTTTCAAACAAAGTGATTTTGCAAGCAACCAACTTCCTAAGTAGAACTTAAAGCGAGGATCGTGCACCCAATTTAGGTGCATCAGGTAATTTAATTAAATTTATGCTTAATTGTGCCCTAACATCCCCGTTTTAGCTGATGCTTGGGTCGTTTATGGTAGTAGAAACCCTATTTCGAAGACACTTGCTGTTATAATATGTGCTTGAAATCATTGACTATAAAAATCCATCTTAATATCGCTTGTGCTTAGCTGATGTGGTTTAGTAAATATTTGTTATCGTCATGTGTAGTTATCATTAGCGTTTCTCTTTGATTGTTCACCATGTTACTGGAAAAGATGCATTGGCCTACATGTCAGAATATTTTCTGCTAATATTGCAGCGAACAAGTAGTATGGCGGCAACTCCGCAAAATGTCGAGATGGAAGCAGCAAAGTTCCTGCATAAGCTTATTCAGGAATCCACCGATGAGCCCACAAAATTGGCTACGAAACTACATGTGGTAGGTCACATGTATGAGTGTATCTCTTTCTTTTCTTTCTGATTTTGCTGAGTGCATTTCTTTGATGATGATTTTTCTGTCATATATTACCCAACGGGTACTATTCTCAATCTATTGTGCATGCATAACAGCTAAAAATTTACAGAACTTTTATAGGAGGCAATTTTTATGTTCCAGTCCAACACAATACTTTCTTAAAACTAATCAAACAAAGAAGAAAAATAAAAGATTATCAAACCTGTACATCATGACTTCGTGATATCACTTAAAAGTTACATGTTAAATATCCCAACTGTTTCAGAATCTAAGCTATAAGATATGTAGGGGCTGTTTCTGTATGGTCTAATGAGCTTAATTTTATGGATGGCTTATTCACTCAGCCATATCAACATGTTTGTGTGCATCTTAATGGTTAAGCTCTTACTATTTTGGTTTATGAGTTCCAGCTTATTTGCTCAACCACTTTACCCTTATGTTTTTCCCAACCATTGCCCTTCCTCTCAAGAACTCCAACCCTCCCCTCGTCTATGTCCTCCTTCTGCTGCTTGGTCAGCCCTCTTGTTGCTTACTGTACCTTCTTCATCATCTCCTCTTCCCTCTAAACTTTTAATCAATGGATGGCTTATTTTCTCTTGCTGCTGCTCATTGATGGATCCAGTGAAGCCATCTAACCTCCAAATGGACATTTCATGTATGGGCAAACCCTAGATTAAAAAAATACACACACAGACACTTAAGCTAAGTTCTCTGTGTGTGTGAGAAGCAAATACAATCAATGGATTCCAATGAAAGGAAGTTGTTCGTAGGTGGGATAGTTTGGGACACCACTGAGGAAAGGTTAAGTGATTACTTTGGGAAATACGGTGATGTCTCTAACACCGTAATCATGTGCAACAAGATCACGAATGCCCATGTGGTTTGACTTTATTGTGCTCTCAGATCCGTCTGTTCTTGATTTTGTTCTTCAAGATTAGGGTACATTATTGATGATCATAATATAAGAAATTAAGGATTATTTACCTATCGGTTTCCTCCTACGTCTGTTTCTTTCTCAAAGACAGTCTTCGTTGTTAGCCCAAGCCTGATTTTCCTATGGTCATAGCTTTTTGAAAATCAATATCACATCCAAAACCACCTATGCTGTCTTTCTATCTGATAAGGAATTTTGTGATTACTTTTAGTATAAATTGGTGTATACTTGGACAGGATTGAACAGGACCAGAAAGGACAAGAGAACAGGACTAGAGAGTAGAGAGGACAAGTTGTTTGTTTGGTTTTTGGCATGACTAGGATTGGACAAGGAATGAGTCAGACAAGTTAGCCATAAATGTTGTTTAATGATTTTATATGGTGGTTGCCTGTGGTGGTGGAAGAGGAGGTAGTGATTGTGGTGGAAGAGGAGGTAGTGATTGTGGTGGAGGCGGAGGTGGTGATAGTGGTGGAGGTAGAGTTAATGGTGGTTGTGGAGGATGTGGAAATGGTTGAAGGTGGCCGTGGTGTGCGTTGACAATGATGGATATGAAGGTTGTGGTTGTGAAGAGGTAGAGGTGGTGGTGGCTGATGTGGTGAAGGTAGAGGTGATGATGGATGGTGGTTAGTCGCTGATGGTGATGAAGGTGGCAGAGATGGACGGTGGTAGTGGTGGTTGTGGAGGACAAGGAGATGGTGGACAGTGATGGCGGTCGACAGTGGTGGATATGGAGGTAGAGGTGGTAGTTGTGGAGGAAGTTGTAGTGGTAGTCGGTGGTGGTGGAGGTGGTCGTTGGTGGGTGGTGGTAGCTACTGGCGTTAGCGATGGGTGGTTGTGACCATTAAACCAAATACGACATATTAGGGTTATATATAAAATGATGGAAGATTGGTAATATTTTGTTCTGTCCCATCTTATTCCACCTATTTTGGTGGGGAAAAAAGTTGCAGGTGGAACAAAAAAAAGTCTTTTTTGTCCCATTCAATCCCATCATGTCCCTGTCCTGCGTCATGCCAAACATGGAACAGTGAGTTGGTCTTGTTTTGTCTAGTCTCATGTAACGAACACAACCTACGGGGTAAAATGGTCATTTATACCATTCACATGTTCAACACAACAAATACAAACTAATTTAGCTTAATCCATATGGACAACTTAATTAGTACAAGGACTAATTGAAAAATAACCATACAACTCCATTATATGTTATGTTGTGTTGCCTTTCTCAACTTCAGTACCGTCACCGTGCTTAGACCGCTTGTATGGTGATCAAGTTTGAAAAAAGAGCATCTGAATGCAGTTGTTACTTGGGTATCAGACTTTGCAGAATTGAACAATAACAAAGCACCTTGACACTTTCATCTATGATCCACTTGGCTCGGTGGATGGTTCAGTTGGGAGAGCTCTACTCTTGCACTTTACTGGTAGTTTCACTTTGATTTATAAGATTTAGAGCCAGAACTTGTGTAGTAGGGAATGATCATGCCCGTACACAACAATTGTGGCCATTGAGTTTATCAGGGCTGATTTCTTGCAGTCACTATTTGCCGGGATTAATCCGGGCATAACCTGGGACACCCTTCCTAAAAGAAAATAGTGTATGATATTAGATTAGGCACAAATAGCTTTAGACTTCACAATCATCCCCAACAATATATATCGTTGTCTAAGTTTAAATATCTAGAAGAGAGTGAGATCTAGGAGACACTATCAATAAATTATATGATATTTTTGTTAAGCTGAGAAGCAATTTTGGAATTTCATGTGGGTTGATTAATATGTAAAAGGTTGCTGAGGATATTTTATTCAAGTGATAAGATACATGTTTGGGAGATGGGTGTGGCGTAGCCGAGATAATCATTTTAAGATGGATGCATACGAAAACTATTGGGTGATTCATTAGGAAGTGAACTCGTGAGGAGATGGCTCACTGGTCCATATAAGAGTCAAACCAAGAGAACATGCATAACATATTTTTCATATTTTGTGTAGACCATGTAGTGTGTCCATGACAAGGAGTAGTATTATAGATATTAACAGTAATGGTGGAGGTAAGTAGAGACCTAAATTAAAATGGAGGATGCTTATTATGGAAGATAATCCAATTCCGGTAGCCTATTCATATTTGGCGTTGTATGGTCATCTGCTCACAAGTCACAACGTTTGCAGTAGGTATGAGGAAGGAATTGATTGAGAAAAGTGGCATCTCATTCTCAACAAGAGTCCTTGCCCTCACAGGGACTGAAACTGGCTGTCCAAGCCCTAGGGCAACAATAATATGAAGAGCTGATCCATTTGTTCGTTATGTGCAATGCAAGAAGTTTCTTGGCTCATAGGGGTCAACAAGTCACGTGTCATATTCAACCTATTTCCTTGCAAGTCTGGTAGATGCAATTTTAATGAGTAATTAATTAGGATGCTCTAAATAGTAAGGATCTTTCTTCTATCTCAATCGAATTTGTGAAAAAGAGAAGAGCTCCTTGCTTCTCTTTGCATCATTTATAATTCGAGGATTTGCCTTTCTGCAAAAAATCTCATTTCCTTAGAAAACCAAGTGGATTTCCGATGGAGTTTTTCTATCTCAGTCAATCATTATGTGGGACCTGCTGAGAATGATAACAGCGTGTCTTTTCTTCTGCTTACCATGGAAAAGGATGTCTGCCTCTCTTCTACCAGAACGTTTCTCTTGACATGAATTATATATGAGAAAGCCGATTCATGTAGCTGAATTGCTGTTATTGACATAAAAGGTATTTATTGGTTCTCTCTTGATCTATAACATATTCACTTATTTTTTCATGGTTCACAGATTTTGCAGCATATGAGATCCAGTGGAAAGGAAAATTCTATGCCATACCAAGTGATATCAAGGTATGAATGTCAACACCATGTGCACCCTGACAACCATTTTGGACTTTTATAGGGACACCAGTGGTTGTGTTCCTTTCTAGTTAAAAGTATAGTTGGGATCGATATCTTTATAAAAAGCCAACAATTTTTTTGTCATCATGGCACGGCTATAACGAGATCACATGCTCTATGCTGCAAATAATCCACTCCTTGGTCCCATTTTATTGTTCTTTTGCAAATGCTCTTTAGAAGTCAATAAATTATTGGAGCTCGTTTTTTTTATGATTTTTTCCTTGTATATTCTCACTTGTCAAATCAACATCTCTGGCAAAAATATTATGGTTAGCCTTGGAACTTAACTTGAGCTAATGAAGAACTTCGCTTTGGATCATCACAAATAATTTTGAACGGTACTTGGTCAATATTGCGGGAATGAGGAAGTAATTACAAATACTACAACAGCTTTCACTAGGTGGGCCATTAGGTTTATTTTAACAGCTTATAAGAATCCAACTAGTTGCTCAAACGGGTGAAATGGCTACATCTGCACATTGTAAAAACTTTGTGTTGCAGTATTTATATTTTGAATCCCATTTTTATTGTGTGATCTTTAATTTTGATCTTCTAAAGGGCTATGGAGACAGTTATAAATCAACATGGTCTTGACATTGAGGCTTTAATGGCATCACGTCAACCTTTGACCAGTGGGACTCAAGGTGGAGAGTCATCCTTGTCGCAAATTGCAGGTATGCAAGTATCCTGTTCCAGTAGTAAATTTTATATTTTCTATCATTTTACAAGTCAAGAAGCCTTGGTGCACTGGACTCTCCCATATTACATGATTTATTCTTCTACAATTCAAAATGATATAATCGAACTGTAGGTCCTTCACAGCAAGCTGCAGTGGAAAATGATTCCAAAAGTACTTTAACTGCTGAAGATGCAGCAAAAATTGCTACATTTTCAAGCAAGCCACTGCATGCAGGACATGATATTTATCAAGGATCTGCAAATCAACTTAACTGTAAGTGCTTGAGTTTGAAGGTTCCTTCATGTATTCCAAGTTTTTGGGCAAATTTCTAGGAAAGTATGTATGTTAAGAGTATTGTCCATGTTTTTTAGCATTCAAGTACTATACTCCCCAATTGCTTCACTCTCCATTTCTATACTCTTGCATATTGTATTGCCCTATACTGGCTAAACCACTAAAAGGAAAATAGACTATAATTAGTTTGATATTGACCATAACCATTTTTAACACATTTAGTACAAATGTCCTAATATATGTCGGTTGCTGCAAAATTGAAATCATACAAATTCGCTACAACTCTATAAGGAGGATATGTACGGGTAAGATATCGAGTTACTAGCAGGTTTCATGGGTTGTAAGTGAGTAATGTGGGTGTTCTTTGAAATTGGATGCTAAATTATTAGTGTGGCGCAAGTTTGTCTGTGCTGAATTTGACAAACAAATTTGAGACAGTGAAAAGGATCATACCAGAACTATGCTGTTATATCGGTCAGAATACAAAATATCGGTCAGGACCGATATTCGATATATCGGTTATATCGGTGATATATCGGTCCAAAATAGCGGTTAACATAATATTTCTTAGAATTATATATATAATATGCATTAATTAGAGTTTAAAAATATAGTTTTAAAATTAAAACATCACATCATCTAAAGTGTTCAAAAACGAGCTAATCGCAAGCAATAGGTTCGGCATCCGAGAAAAGAAGCCAAACCGTGACTCCATGAGAAGTCTGAAGTTGTGAGAAGTCTGAAGTCGTGATTCGTGAAGTGAACTAGGTGTCTGTGAAGTGTGAAGTCGTAACTCGTAAAGATGAAAAGAAAGGAAGAAGACCGTTGGAAGGCAGACTATTAATTTCAGACCTAATAATATACGTTACCAAGCCCAAAAAACTAAGCCCATGAAATAACAAAAGCCCAAATAATTGAACCCTAAAAAATCGATATATCGGTCCGATATATACATCAAAATATCGCTAAATATCGGGAAAAATCGGAAAATATCGCCGATAATATCGGGGACGATATTTTGACCGATATTTATGCAGCRATATTTTGCCTAGGTCCGATATCCGATATATCGACGATATATCGCGATATTAATAGCATAGTACCAGAATACAACACACTGAATTGGGGTTCTTTTGTGAATGCTTGATTACACTCTCAGCAAATGTTGAAGCTTGTTGAATCCAGGTCATTGTATGGGTTCTGTAAGTTTATACATGCAGAGGCTTTAGGAGACGTTCAGGAAGTGTGGCCATGGGAAGGTATCAATTATTGTATGTGCTATTGGAGGGATAGGAGAGTGCACAGGAAGACACCATAGTCCTGTATAATAAAATTAAGACAGTAGCATCATCTCTGTAATATGTTTGATTAACATGTTACATATGTATTATGATCACACATCTGGCTCTTGAAAGCTTACGTGTCATGAGTAACATAACAAGAGGTCGAGGTTGTGTGGAGTCATGGGTTGAAAACACTGGGTATAAAAGTATGCCATATGGTGCCGCTCATCCTGATGATTTTTATTTCGTAGCGCGGCATGTATTATGTTTGTCCTAGGAGTGCATATGTATCCATCAGTCTGCATGCATCTGATTTGTTGGTCTGTTTTAGCAGTATGAACCATTATGATTTACAATGTTATTGGTTAAACCACAGTTTCTTTATCAAGACGGGTTATTTTGTTTTGTGGATCATATAAAGTTCTATGCCACATCATTTTGCAGCTATCAAGAGTCATGGATCAGATGCCGGTTTTTCTGGCTCATATGAATCAGCAGAACCAGGGAACCCATTATCCATGCAGTTCAGCAATTCATATGATAACCAGAGTGCTGCGATGTTGATGCACAAAGGCCCGGCTGGAAAGGCATTGGAGCAAGAAGGAAGATTTCCAAATGTGATGGCGAATTCAAGCAAGACAGTTCAGGTACGACTATTATATCATTTACTTCCTACTCTTTCAACGGAACTAGGTTTTTTGTTCTGGTTGCACTCACTAGACAAGACTTTCTTGATGAGAAGGGGTTAATGAAATTTATGATGTTTTGTGCTCTTAACATTCGTGCCATCTGTTATATCATAAATATTTAGATTGTTAGCTCCAATTTTAACATGGCATAGCACATGCACTCCTAGAGAGGATTCCTTGATTTTTCCTTCTTTTGTGTCTCATTGATTAGCTTTTCAATTAGGATTTGTACCCTTAAGAAGGTTGATTATTTCTTCTGTTAGAATTTTAACATGTATATAGTACACCTTGCAAGAAATACAGTGGGTAGTCTTCTTATTTTTGGTGAATTCTTTCTCTGTACCCTTGTAATGCAACCAAGAAAAGTAGAAGCCATTATAAAAGTGGATGCCCGTCAGCTGCTATGGCTTCCATCTTATTTTATAGTTCAAAATGGAAAGCTAACCAAATTACGTAAATAATACGGGAAACCTGTATGTGAGGTAGGAGCAGGTATAACACTCTTAATCGATTGGTGGCATGCCGCCCTGTACATTATTTACGGGTCCTTAGTTAACTAGAAAATGCTCAAAGGTATTGTTATGTAGAATTATACACAAGATAATACTCTGAAATTGTGTCTCTTCGCCATTTTCACCATTACAAGACAACATCTTTTTGAATTTGTTTTGCTTTACTTTTGTAAAAAATAGATACTTTTGGCTTGAATGCTGATTATTGTAAAAAACAAATCACAAGTTTGTAACTACCTTCATCAGTCTTCTGTCATTGATCACAAGTGCCATTAAGCTGTATGCCACATTCTGATATACATTGATATTTGTTAGGTATAAGCTTCAACTGTTCTAAAGCTTCTTATGCAAAATCCAGGTTCCTTGTAGAAGTCTCAGTGATTCCTGGCTATGTGGATCACAAGTCACAACTCACTCATATTTGTTTGTCTAGATATGTGAAAACTTCATTACTTCTGCTCTTCTTTGTTATTATTTATTTGATAGAACTTGTTCTGTGTTTGTATTTTCTAGCAAATAGTTTAGCACCTCCAGCAGCCTTATACTATATACTGTGTAGTTAGAATAATGGAAACTTCTTTGATTATCACATCCAAATAAGTAATTTATCTACATGATAAATTGATAATGTATAATTGGCCTTGCTTAATATTCTTTTGTTTTGTTACAGTCACTTCCATCCTTACATAAAGTATGGTTTCAATGCTCTAGTTTAATCAGTTACCAGCTTAGTTTTGTTAGATATCATCCTCTCATGACCTTCCTTTGACAGGGTGGCATCTCAAACAATGTCGCTGAAATGGGAATGTTTCGAACTGACGCTTCAAGAGATACCGGAAAATTACCCGTCTTACAGGCTCCTTCTGTTGGACCTTCCATGCCTTTCAAGGAACATCATTTAAAGCAGCTCAGAGCTCAATGCCTTGTATTTTTGGCCTTCAGGTTGTTCGAGTGAACATGTTTAATCTGTTCGTTGTTAAATATCTGATTCTTTTTGATCACTTAACTATAACAAACCATTTTCTACATGTAGGAATAATTTAATGCCGAAAAAGTTGCATCTTGAGATTGCACTGGGGAACTTCTTTCCCAAGGAAGGTAACTGATCTTTTTGCATTCAACAAATGAATATTTCATCATCTGACAGACTACATTTTGGCTGCCTTCATTCTTCAAGAAAAGCATGCCTTGGCTGCTTTCTACAAAGATAACATACGAGAGCATGCTATGGTTATTATGTTATGTGCTCTTTCTGCTTGTTTTTTATCTGTGGAGGTTAAGTTAGGAGATTGGTTTAGTTGCTTATTTTTTTTAAGGTCATATAACTGGAATTTCTCAAAAGTAAAAGAGCTCTATTCTGTTGGGATGATCAGAATACCTGTCTACTAATGAGCTGCAATTCAACCATATGCAAATAACGAGTGGTATTGCAGATATAAATAGCAAAGAACAGATTGACCAGAAGGGGAAAGAGCATTCTATTGGTGGCCAGAGCATCAGTCATGAAGTTGGAATGCCTTCTTCTAGAATTGATAATAGGGAAACTGAAAGAACTGGTCCTGGTTATTCGAGCAGTGGATTCATTTCAGAAACAAACCTTTTGAAAGAAGGCGAGAAACTTGACAGGATGATAGATAAAAATGACCCACCTTCTGGTCTTCCTGAACATGGACAGGGGATGAGAAATAATATAATTCCAAGGAAATTTGATGCGGAGCTGCAAGCATTTGAAGCAAAAGAATTGCAGACATCTGCAACCAAAGTTGCACGAGCAGATTCTAACATTGCACCACATGCAGGCCTTTTTGGTGTGCCTGTAGGTGAAGGGAAAGATTATTTTTCAAGTCAATCGAAAAGCCATGCTGATAACCAAGGAAATCGGCATGGTCATAGTCATTTGCCAAGTTTCTCTCTGAGAGAAAGTTGGAAGTTTCATTCAGGAATGGAAGGTGAAAGGCACATGGTGGTGCCGAAGAATGCTAATGTTCTGGAAAAGGATGTAATACTTGGTGAGAACTATGACTTTAGATACAGCTTGTCGATGTGCTCTCCTTTTCCCTTCCATTGATATAGCACTGCTCTTATCAAATGAAGGCTACTTAAATCATCAGTCTGGTATAGGAAGTCTTTTAAAGGGGTGCACGCTGACTGTATGCTGCTTGTTACATACTCCATCCCAGCACAATCATCCACTGGTGAATTTGAAGTCAAAACTTACTTATGTACACTTACAGAAAAAAATAGATTTACAAGTCAGCTAGTAGCTGGTCTTAAAATGTGGAAAGTTCATGCAGTTTTCAATTTTAAATCACTAGGTTTTACATTCAGAGTGGAAGATGAAGCTTAATTGAGACTGAGTTAGAGTTTTTTACCTGAGGCATTTCAGATCTGTTTTAATGTAATTCTGAAGATGGTTAGCTGAACGAATTGTCTTTATTGTACCAGGAAATAATCATGAGGGGGAAGATAATTCTGAACCTAATGCTTCGCCAGCATCGCCTAGGTACACTACGTCTGAAAAGTGGATTGCAGATTGCCAAAAAAGAAAAATTGATGCTGATTATAATTGGGCTGTTAAAAAGAAGAAAACAGAGCAACGGATCTTGGCTTGTGTTGAAAAGTTAAAGGTTTGCTAATTGATTTCAATTTCCTTAAATGTCTTGGAAGTTGTATGCTATCTCAACTTATGGCTTCCTGAAATAAAATGGTTGATTAAAGTAAAACCTAGATTGAGATATGGTAAATTGTTGTTTTGCTTGTTGTATTGGGTTATTCTTTGGTCTCTTTAATTACCAATTCTTCTTAATGCCTCAGTGAAGGTCGAGCTTATTATCCTTGGTTCTAGACAAGTCATTTAGGCAATCTTTATTTCTCTTCACTACGTCTTTTTTACACATCAATAGAGGCCTATTTTGGCAGAAAAATGCAATGAAACTTGCATCTCATCTCTCTTCTTGTATATTTTCTTTAAAAGAATCTCTTGTTGCATGGTATTCCACTTTTGTTCCTTATCCGTTTGTTGCAGAAATAATTTTATGGATGTTCCTGTACAACCATCGAATGGTCTGAGAAAATTTTGATATAACAACTGAATGCTACTAACAATTAGGCTCCGGATGCTTTCTTCTATTGAGTAAGGAACAAGATGCACACATTGTATAGAGTTGAAGCAAACTAATCATATCATTGAGATTACTCTAAAGTCTAAGCCTACTGTAGCTGGGTCTCTTAAACATAAGGTAGTTATATAGATAAACAAACCCAAACTAAACCAAACCAGCCTGTATATCCCACCCGGAGGTGGCATCGGGGGTGGGATGCACGCACACTTGACCTCTACTCCAAAGAGTAGAGCAGTGTTTCCGCGAAGGTCCCCGGCTTTCAATGATGATTTTCTATTGATCATTTCTAACATCACAAGCAAATCAATGATAATTTTCATTACCTAATGCTTTGAGAAACTGAAAAATTTGAAACATATAAAAGAAAAGGAAACATAAAAACTGAAGACACCTCCATGTGAGTTTTTTTAAAAAGAGGAGAGGAAGATCAATCTGGTGGCTACACTGACTTGTAGAGAACAGAAATAGAGAAGGCGGGTACAATCTTAAAATTTTCTGTCTAATGTGTTTACAATGAGGCTTAACAAGGGCCAAGTAGGTCACAATCACTTATAAGAGTCGGATAATAGTCGAGAATAGATTGGAAAGGTCAGATGTTGAAAGCGGCAGATTGAGTTCCACATATGCTTCATGATCTTTGAAGATGTCAAAAGTTCAGCGGTTTGCAAGTCTAGGTGGGGCTCGATTGAGGATGGTTTGAGAAAACCAAGGCAGTGCTGAGCTGGTGGATATTGGAACATAGCCGATTAAGCCACATGAGGTGTTGGTACTCTTTCTTTATTTTATGGGGAGAACCACATCTATTCAAAGTAAATGTTTCAGCAAGCCTGTGAGGGCGATCTTCGCTCGTTTCGGCTCCAAGGCTCTACCCTGGCTTATAAGACAGCTCCATACCCGCTTTCTTATCCAGGGTAGTGGACCGAAGTTGAACTTCGGTCCTCGGCTGTAGCTCCTCAGTATTAGGCAGGGGGAACAAAAGCTGAAATGCCTTTCTCGCTTTAGAGAAATTGTAGCAGGTAATTGTTAATAAAAAGATATATCCTCAATTCCTCATCCGGATTGTAACTTTCCATAAATTTCCCATTTGTCACTCAACGGTCGAACTTTGCTAGAGGAGTATAGATCAGTCCCCCGGTGAGCCTTTAGCGAGGAGTGACCGGTCCGGCAAAACAACTCAAAAGATAAAGAAGTCTCGTTTGGTAATAGAGGTGCGTTCGGTATATCAATGAAGCATGCAAACATTGCATGTAGATATGCAGCCACCTTCTTCACCTCATCACATCGAGCAAAATCATTGCCTCACAAGCAGTGGACTTGTGGTAAGCGCAAATGTTGCCTTGACAAACTTAGACAAGGTCGCAAGAGGTGACGAGGCCTTGATTAGGAAGATCAAAGTCATTGTGGTGTCTTCAGGTTTGAAAAGCTCATGAGGCTTCAATAATTCTTACCCCCGAAACTTGGGCTACTGGTGGGCTCTGGTGAAGTTCATAGGATTGCACTCTTGACAAAGTAAAAAGTGGCAGTGCCTAGAAATTGTGCGACTATGGAACACGACTATTATCTGTTTTTGTGCAGGAGAATAGGCTAGGCAAAGCATTTCTGTGATTGCAAGTCACTGTTTGGGGCTGGTAGTAGAAACAAAACTGTCGCATCATCGTCCCAAGTCCTACCCAAAAACTGAGACCTTTCTGACAATTTCTAAAAGCTTCTTCCTGTTACATAGGTATATGTGTGTGTGTGTACGGGATGTCATAGAAAAAGCCGACTGATCATGGTAGGAAGGTAAATATAGTTATAATTCTACATGTAACTTAATTCCTTCTTCTAACAAACTTCCCATGCATGAGTGATTTGCATGGTTCCACTGCTGCAGCACAAGTGAATGAGTAATATGAAAGGCCTTGATTCATTGGAGAATCTTATCTCAAGAGTGAGGTTACATGTGTGTTGTGTTATATGGCTATGCATAAGCTTTGGGAGAGTATTGATTATGCTTTATTGCTCTAGGGGGGAGAAAAATAAGGATAATGTTTGAGATAGTAAAATCAATGCTGACGCCTGCTTTCAAGATAACTCATGCGACATTCTTGATGGTTGGTTTAAAGTTCATACAAGATTATGTTTTGTGGTCATCTCTTTCTCCATGCTTATGTATCATAAAATCATGATTGGAGTTGCTCTCAAGGGGTTTTGAGGCATGCAATCTGCAAAGAAAGGGTTTGGCATTCCATACATTTTGCTAGTTATGCATGCCTTTTTTCTTTCAATATGCAGGAGGTATTCCAGGGAATGCCACCTGTTTGATTTTTCAAATTTCCCACTCTAGTGGTGGCATATGATTTTTCAAAATTTCCCACCTAACAGATGGCTGTTATATTTTGGCATTAAAGATTCTGAAACATTGTAGTTCTATTCCTGGATGCAAACTTTCTTGTCTATGCATTACTTTTGTTTCTGTCAGTAGTTGCAAAGATATCAATATCATAGCTTATTATAGGTTGTTTAAACTTTCAAAGTTATGTTCTAACATTGAGTGATTGAGATGAATTTGAAGAAATTTTCAATGGGATAAACTAATTTGTTCAGATCACATAAGAGTTGCAATTTTTGCTCATTTATCAAGCTACCCGTCTTGCAACTCTTTTAGAGTACCTAATGTACCACAATCTCATACATGTACAATGAACTAAAAGGCATTTCTAATCTTCCTCGCAGCAAGACTTCTGAAAGCCAGTTGCTAAGAAAAAGATTAGAACAAGAGGGCTCTGGCGATTTCGGAACTAGCTTGACTTGTTCCACCCAGCAAGTCTGGGGTGAATGAGAACTAGTTCGTCACCAACATGCTTAACTCCTAGGACTTTTGCATAGTAGCATGTCTGAATGTGTTTGTTAGTTGGCAAAGTTTAGGGTAGTAATGATTGATGGCAGATGACCTTTGTAAAGTTGATCTTTTTTGTGAATGTCGAAAAAGGCCAACATTCATGAAGGTGCATAATAGAATGAGGTTTTATATTTGTACTTCTTGTTGGATCATATCTCTGTTTCTAAGTTCATTTTTGACAATGGATATGCAGGAAACAGTTAGCTCTTCTGAAGACATTTCTGCAAAAACCAGAAGCGTTATCGAATTAAAAAAGCTTGAACTCTTGGATCTCCAGCATCGCCTCCGAAGGTAATTTCTTTTCTTTAATATATTTATGTGCTTTGTTCAAGTTGTTATGTTTTGAACCTTGTATCTTGGAAAGAACTCAAACACCTTTTATCTTCAATGTTCTTGTTGATTCATGTTAACTATCCATTTGCTTGATATACTTGTTTTGTTGCAGTGATATCCTGAATGATTTTTTTAAACCGATATCTACCGAGATGGATCGCTTGAAATCAATTAAGAAACATAGGATAGGCCGAAGATCCAAGCAACTTGAGAGGTATGAGCAGAAGATGAAGGAAGAGCGTCAAAAGAGAATTCGAGAAAGACAGAAGGATTTCTTTGGTGAATTGGAATTGCACAAGTATGTATACCTGATTTATTTACTTGCTAAAGTTTTTGTATTTTGTTTTTTCATCAATTTCGGTTCCAGGCATAATTTTGTTAAGTGTTGTAAAAGGTTTCCAAAATACTATCTTACACAAGTGAATACTGCTTTAGGGAAAGACTGGAAGATGTATTTAAATTTAGGAAGGAACGGACGAAGGGCTTTAACAAGTATGTAAGAGAGTTTCATAAAAGGAAGGAAAGACTTTACCGGGAGAAGATCGACAGAATCCAGCGAGAGAAGATCAATCTTTTAAAAATCAATGATGTGGAGGGTTATCTACGAATGGTTCAGGTGAAAACTGTGATCTATCAATAGGATTCAACAAAGATCTGCATTTTAAGATTGGTTTGGGAAATAATATAAATTAATTTTTACAGGATGCAAAATCAGATCGGGTAAAGCAACTACTGAAAGAGACTGAGAAGTATCTTCAGAAGCTTGGATCTAAGCTGAAAGAGGCAAAGGTTATCAGCAGATGCTTTGAGTCAGATATGAATGGTCTAAATGATAATAGTGAATTTACTATCGAGGATGAAGATGAGACAGACCAGGCAAAGGTATTCTATCTTTTGTTTTCATCACTTTAAAAGTCCATCTCAATTGTTTGCTTGCCTTTCTATGTTATTAAAAATTCATTTGGCTTCTACAGCATTATATGGAGAGCAATGAAAAGTACTATATGATGGCTCATAGGTAATCCAGTCTCTTTTATCTCTGCTCAGGAAGTGATAATGATTCCTGATGATTGGCTAGTCCTGGTTGAGATACATTTTTGTGCTTTTTCTCAAAGCCAGTCTTTTATTTCTATATTTTTTTTCTTCTCTTGTAATTCAATCTTTATTGATGTTATAAGTAAGGACCTGTCTAAAAAATGTAAGCTGTAGGCTATCCTGTGTTTCTTGTTCTCTTCCCTCTAGAGTATATATTTAGTTTCTCAGACGAGGATTTCCTGTGTGCGTCATGTAAAAATTGGATCTTTCTTAGTGGTAATGAGTTTTAACTTTTCTTTGTCAAACTCATTATCATTTGTGCTGCAGCATCAAAGAGACTGTAGCGGAGCAGCCAGCATCTCTTATTGGTGGAAAATTGAGAGAGTAAGTTACAGAAACATGCTTCTAGGAGTATCTGTCATTCTCTTGCGAAAGCAGTTGATAAATTTAACTTTAGAAAATAAATCAAGTAGATTTCTTGTTATCATGCTCTTTCTTGAGTCCTGCATGCGTTGTCCCTAGGTACCAGATGAATGGATTACGATGGTTGCTGTCACTTTACAACAACCATTTGAATGGAATTCTTGCAGATGAAATGGGCCTGGGGAAAACCGTTCAGGTACTTTGAGGCTAAAATTTGGCCATGCATTGTTTGTCCAGTTTTCTTTTTTAATTGTTTTCTTGTTTACTAGTTTATGTGTTCTTGTTTGGAGTAAGACATGGGCCCGACACGTTGTTTCTGCAGGTTATTTCTTTACTTTGTTACCTAATGGAAAATAAAAATGATAGAGGGCCCTTCTTGGTGGTTGTGCCATCCTCAGTTCTGCCTGGATGGGAGACAGAAATTAACTTCTGGGCCCCAAGCATCAACAAAATTGTCTACGCTGGTCCTCCTGAGGAGCGCCGAAGGTTATTCAAGTATGATATTGGGATCCAAAGTTGTCGTTTGAACTCTCAATGCAATCTAATTCTTCAATAATACCACCTTATATGCATCACTGCAGGGAAAGAATTGTTCAGCAGAAGTTCAATGTTCTTTTGACAACATACGAGTATCTGATGAACAAGCATGACAGACCAAAACTGAGCAAAATACATTGGCATTATGTTATAATTGATGAGGGCCATCGCATAAAGAATGCTTCTTGCAAGTTAAATGCTGACTTGAAGCATTATCATAGCTCTCACAGATTGCTTTTGACTGGAACTCCTTTGCAGGTTTGAGTGTGATTCTGGGCATCTTTTTTTCCATATAATTGCTCAAGTATTGTTCGCTTTGTTTGCTTTCTAGCCATATGGAATCTGTATATTACAAGTTAAGAACTCCTAGAAAATACATTATTATTTGCAATCCATGTAAGCAACAAGTCGTCGTCATAAATCTAGGTTACTTATTTCAATTTGCAGAACAATCTTGAGGAACTGTGGGCACTGCTTAACTTTCTGTTGCCAAATATTTTTAATTCGTCGGAAGATTTTTCTCAGTGGTTCAACAAACCATTCGAAAGCAACGCAGATAACTCCCTTGAAGAAGTGAGCATTTTGATAGCTACATGCATACCCTTTTATAATCCTATGTTCATGAATTCTAAGTGTGATGGGTAACTAAAGTTTCTGCTGCTATGTACAGGCTTTGCTCTCTGAGGAGGAGAATCTATTAATCATAAATCGTCTTCACCAAGTTCTGCGACCATTTGTGCTTAGGAGACTGAAGCACAAGGTTCTACATTCTACATTTATGTTTACAGGGACCACTGAAATCACATAAGTTTCAGTATCTTGTTAATTGCATGCACTTTATGCACCCCGGCTCTACAATAATTACCAGTAGTGGCTTTAAGTATCAAGTTAACCTCTGCATGCTTTCTTGTATTGATGGTGATATCTTTCATCCCTACATTTACAGTATAAACTGATAAACATAAAAGTTGAAATTCCCTTATGTTATAAGCTTCGAGCTTTAGATCTTTGTTAATAAGCTTTCTCTTTATTTTTTAGTCACCATTTATATTTTATTTTGATTTGCTAGGTTGAGAATCAGCTGCCTGAGAAGATAGAGAGACTCGTAAGATGTGAGGCTTCTGCATATCAGAAGATATTGATGCAGAGGGTAGAAGATAGTCTTGGCGCATTTGGTGCTTCAAAGGTTGATTTGCAATAACTTTTAATTTACCGATCAGTTTTGATGTTTGGAGCATGATTCACCATGATTCATTTCTAGCACATTTAAAATCATTAAAATTATTTGTGATGTAAATAAACAATATTTTAGAACAAGAATATCATAGGAAAATATATTATTGCATGAATTCAGTAATAGATTTATGTTGGTTTCTGTTCGCAATTACCCTTTTAAGGTGTCATTTTTAATGTTTATCATTCTCTAGGCTCGAGCAGTGCACAATTCTGTTGTTGAACTACGAAATATATGCAATCATCCTTACCTCAGTCAGCTTCATACGGAAGAGGTTGGTCTTTTTTTTTTCAACTAGTTGATGTTTAAGTTGTTTTTTTTTGCACGAAAATATCTGATGCTGTATATGATTTCCTAGTATTTATGTTTCAGCATTACTTTGGCACTTCTCTGTATGCTTTTGGCATGCATAAAGTACTCATTTCTGCTTGAGCTTGCATATGCTCTGATATACATGGTTGCATTTTGAACTGTGAAATAATAAGTCACATGATAATGTGAACGTTCTGGTAGGTATAACACTAATATTCATTTTTCCCCTTTTACTTTGTCATCGATCTGGTGCTGATAAACAGACATGCAATAATTTTTGATTCCCTAATTGTATGTTCCAATCATTGTCGGATGGGCATCTGAGCACCAACATACATGTACCGATGTTGTGGTTCGAGAAACCAGCCACTGCATTAGTTTGTGGGTGCATTATATTTCAGCTGCTTGAGTAAGGGAATTTTGCCATTATTCTAGGATGCATCATGTAATACATGGTGTACAAATAAGTTTGCCATTATTCTAGGATTCATCATGTAATACTTGGTGTATACATACATAAAGTATCATCACAGCTACAATTTCCACAGGTGATGGCTTACACATGTGTACTATTCAATTTTCTTAATTTTGGTGTTTCTTGCTTCTTGTGAATATTTTGAGGACTTGGATGAATGTTGCTCTTTGTTCTATTGTTGCAAAATTTCACGTGTCTTACCATCACAAGAATTTTCTAGACTTGATGGATATATTTTATTTAGCTTTTGTTGATAGGATCTGCCCTCCCAAGAAAATTACGAGTGTGGTTACTTATTTGCAGGATACTGGAAGTCATGAAATTCTGTTGAAATCACTATAGTGGTCTTGTCCCTCCTTGAATGTTCCTAGAGCTTGACCTTCTTGGACTTTGCAGGATGATGTACGAGAAATCAAAACCTCTATGAGATTCATAGAAAATAGGAAGTATATCTTACTTAGAACACCTTTTTGAGTGAATATTGATTCTGCGGATTTTGGTTGGTAGCAAAGATGCTCCTAATGACCCCTTCCCTGTAGATGGTTGGGTCATGATAGACTTTGATGATTATGGTGGTACGAAGCAGGTTGATGTTGTGTTGATTCGTGCAATACTCATCCTTTCTAAGGCCTTCTCCACTTTTCTACATAATAACTCCGAATTTGTACGTTTTGTGTAAGAAACCATCTCCAACCAACCCCCCAAAGTCTGGAGTAATTTTGTGTGTAATGAGTTGTAACATTCCAAATTTGGATCAACTCCATTCATCACCTCTAAGAGCTTAAGTCATTCATGTTAACCCTTTTGGTTATTAAAATTTTATCCTGTTCAGTCATCATATTTTGATTAATTCACATAATTTGTAAATATTTAACATGAAAAGTAAAAGATCATTTTGCACAATATTACCATAATAAAGATCTCATCGAGACCTTTCAAATGAGGCCATTATTGAATATGATATGCAATTTAGTTTGGTATTCATTTATGGTTATTATTAATAAATGTTATGATTAATTAATTTTTCTAAATAAGTAAAAGTGCATCTAAAATAAAAGGTACATTAAGGTAATAGTTAACTACAACATTAGTTAAAAGTAAAATAGATTACAACCTTAAACTACAACACAGCTGAACAAATTTACAATGAAATGGAAGCACAAGAGATTATAGTAATCAGAGGTTAAAATTTGTAATAAGAAGCAAGAACGTAATATTTGTTGTTGCAATAATATTAATCATGCATATTAAATAATATTTATTTATTGTGAAGTGTGTGCATGCATGTATCGAGTTGGTACGGATTACAATATTTCTTTATTTCATTTCTATGATAGAGGGACACATTTAATCTATTTCAAATTTTGAGAAAAAATAGAATAGCCTATTAAAACATCTCTTCATTCCGTTTGAGATTAAATGCACCCCTTTACCATATCCAAATTTTGTATTATAGTTTTTTTTTTTTTTTTACTTTCTACAATGGTAAACCCGTTACATTTCTGCCATGCATCTATATATAGGCCTAGGCCCTAGCCCAATATTATATTCTAGAATAAATTGATAGTATAAATAGGGGCATGGCGGGAGAGTAGAGGTATCCAGAAAATTATTAAGAGTGTTCTTAGGAGTGCTCTGGCCTGTAGACTAGCCAGAAATTTTCTGTTTCATAGTTGAATTACTTCAGTCATCGGTAATTTCAGTTCTACTTTTGGAGTCTGTTAATCTAGCTTGATTCATAACAGTTTCACTTAGTTCGTAGAGGTAACATGAATAAGGGGTAATATGGAGAACCGAAGTAATAACACGTGTAAGAATAGTTTGGTAATTTTGCCTTGTAGGGAAGTGGTAGTGGGGAATATTAGATACGTGTAAGTGGGTTGTGGATGGGGGTTATTCTGTTTTTTTGGTCAGACCTGATCTTAATAAGTTGAGAGGAGAGTCTTAGCCTCTCTAAAGTCTAGCGATACTTGTAATCTTTTGATGCCATTTGAATAAACAAAACCAGTTTATACCATGCAACCGTGAGATCATTGTGGGGTTATCAAATTGTTCCCATGAGTTATTGATGCCACTTTCTTTGTTGCTTACTGAATTTCATTTTGTTCTATTTCAGGTTCATGATTTCATCCCCAAACATTATCTTCCTAATGTGATTAGGTTTTGTGGGAAGCTTGAGATGTTGGATCGACTACTGCCTAAGCTAAAAGCTACAGATCATCGGGTATAATATTTCTTCTAGGTTTTCTTGAAATGAAATCCACATAAAACATAGATGTTTTTTAGTTATTGCATGATATCTGAAAAATTTAATGTACTGAAAAGCTGAAAGCAATGTATGCATCTACCTTGAGAAAGTCAACGGCATTTTACGGCTCAATCTTCTGATTATTTACCTCTATTTTTCTTTCTGTATGTTTGTTTTTTGTTTTCATTTTCTTTCTTTAACAGCAATAGTTGGTAGGATGGCTGAGTAGGGAACAACTGTTAAAATTTAGTACATGCACCACTTCTCTAGCATGTGTTGGAAATCTCGTAATATCTTTGTTTTCAGATGCTTATAATGGAAATCTTATCTGCAGGTTCTTCTTTTTTCAACAATGACTAGACTGCTTGATGTCATGGAGGATTATTTGTATTGGAAACAGTATAAATACCTTCGTTTAGATGGACATACACATGGCGGTGACCGTGGGGCCTTAATTGACAATTTTAACAAACCAGGGTCTCCATATTTCATATTCCTGCTCAGGTAAAGAACAATTATGTTATGATTGGCATTGCAAGTTGTATGCTTTTAAATTATGGACTATGTGAAATGTTACGGCTCTAGTTGTAGTTTTGGTTGTTTCCAATGTTCATGGATGCTGGTGTGTAGGCTGTAAGTTGGTACTCATTTAATGGAGGCTCTGCCTTGTGAAGTGGCTGCTTTTGGGGTGCTGAGTGAGTTAATCCAGGCTATTGCACCAGTGAGAGTGTGTCCATGATCACAAATAGACCAAAGCAAATCTCCTGTTTTCTGGTTTCTTAATTTCTACTGTGATTTTTCTGTCTTGGTGTTATTTAAACTAAATCTGGTGATAAAATTTGGTGGCACTTCCTTCCCCTGCAGAGGGATGTGGTTAGTGGTACTGAGATCCCTAAGGCATGCAAATGCTCACACGATGAGCAGCAGTGTTATGTCTGGCCACAATCCAGTCAGGGGATATCCTGGTTTTGTCAGCATATAATCTAAGTAGACTGTCGTTCTTATTTTTGTACATAAAGGATGTGGTTAGTGGTACTGTTATTTGCAAACTGCATTGGTTATACTGCATCTAGGATGATTGCAAAATCCTCTTCTATTCAGCCTCTATCATACCTGTTGCACTCAGAAAACATGACACGTGGAAGAAGTTCTAACATGTGTTGTCAATGATTTGGTATAGATCCTTTAGAATGGTGATCATCAATCGTTTTAACTTCTTTCTCATATTCTTCTTTTTTATTTTGTTCATATTTTCAGTTTATGGCATTTTTGGTTGTATTTGGGTATACACACATGCCTCTACTCAAGATAATTGCACACTTGTTTTATTTACTGGTGCTGAACATCTGTTTGTGTGATTCATAGCATACGTGCTGGAGGCGTTGGAGTGAATCTTCAAGCTGCGGATACAGTTATCATTTTTGACACAGATTGGAATCCACAGGTAATATATGCATCTATAGTAAACAAGTTCTAATACGTATGCCATTGATTTTTTTTTCTTAGTGGTTTTTTCCCCCTCCCTATGGTTAGGTTGATCTGCAAGCACAGGCTAGAGCTCACAGAATTGGTCAGAAGAAGGATGTACTCGTTCTTCGGTTAGAAACTGTATGTTGTTCTCAGAACTTGGGTACCTTGTAGGTTACAATTTTCGTGCTTTGAAGTTCTCTCTTGACATTGGAGAGACTTAAATTAAAGATGTGTTGATGTAAGGTTAAAACGGTGGAAGAACAAGTTAGAGCTTCAGCTGAGCACAAACTTGGAGTTGCGAATCAGAGCATTACTGCTGGGTTCTTTGACAATAACACAAGGTAGCAGCATGTTATGTTTAGATGTTCTTTATAATGACATTGTGCTACATGTTTACTTGTGGAAACTTTCATCCGTTGCAGGAAGCGTTTTTGATTTTTTTTTTACTAAATCTTTACTTTATTATAAAGCATTTGGTAAGTCTTAAAAACAACTTATAAGCATTAGGTAGTGCTTATAAATGCATAATCCTTCAAATTTCCAGGTTACAAGTAATTACTTAATGCATACAACTTCTTAAAGCTTTTTGAATGCTATAAAACTAACTAATAACTAGCTGATAGCCAGGTATAAATACAAGATAACAATTGACCGCTATTAATATGAAATAATAGTCCATAATTATCTTTATCCCAAACAACTTCATCATTAAAACGAAAATAGATTTTCATCTTTTCTTTAAATCTAAAATATTTAAATTATAATAAAATTTTGATTAAACAAATTATACCAAAAAATGAGAATTTAATAATTTTGATTTGACAACCATATCGATATATCTTTCGGGTTCTTTTTACGGGGTCTCAGATCAGCAAGACATGTTCAACAAGCACTTGTAATTTCTATTTTTTTTTTCAAATATAAATATCGGATATTTTAATGAGAATTTGCATTTATTTTTAATTATCGGTTTACAATGAAATCCTTCTTTCCTCTGCATCGCACGGGTCAATGACTGGCATTATATATATACGTTTTTACATAATGTGCACACATACTACACACACTGTTTGTAAAGTTGGAAAAAATGAGTTGACCGTTGTATTAACTGGATCATAGTGCGGAAGACCGGAGAGAATACTTGGAGTCCCTTCTGCGGGAGTGTAAGAAAGAGGAAGCTGCTCCTGTTTTAAATGATGATGCTCTCAATGATCTTATAGCCCGGAGGTACGTTCTTTATCTTAATTGGGCAACCTGAAGATTGGACCTATCTTGAGTTTATGATATCAATTGGTCTTATAATATTCAGAATTCTGAGAACATCATTTCATCGTTGAGATAGCAGATTACATCAAGTATCTATCTACTGATTCCTAGTCTAGATTTAGGAAGAAAAACACATGCAACAATCAAACTTATCCAACTTATAAAAAGGCTGAATAACCAAGCAGATGAATACAATGAATGCATACCCTGGTTGGAGCATACACATTCTCATGTTTATCCAACTTATAAAAAGGTTGAATAATGAAGCAGATGGATTCAATGAATCCACACCCTGGTTGGAGGATATACATTCTCAATAAACCAAACAGAACATTTAACACTTTTATTGACAGTCTTCTTACTAGTAGATGTACAATAGAAGGGCCAAGGGTGTACTCTATCATTGGGATGGAGGAACAATCTATAAACACAGGAAAAACATGAAATGACCCATGAAGTAGCACTGAGTGAGATGATGCTCAGATCTTGGTTGTGTATCACGGATAGTAGCAGCGGAGCTCCAATATGGGTCTATTAAGCTGACGAGGTCAAATTGGAGCTGAATCATGTTTATTATGAAAGTCAAGGGGGGTGGTATGGGAAACAGAAGGTGCTTCACAGGGTTGCACTGAAAATTAGAAAGAACGAAGGAGGCAATAGGAATGAAGGAGGTAGGAAGCTAATGGAGATGGTTTGATGTCAAATCCACAGTTGTTAAAAGCGCCCCTGAGGCGCGCCCAGGCTCGGCGGCTCATAAGGCTCAAGGTCTTGGGCTTTTTTGAAGTCGAGGCTTGGCGTATTCACAAGGCCCAATAAGGAGCTGCGCCTTGGCTGAGGCGCCTTGTGGGCCTAGGCGCGCCTCATAAAGAGTTATTAAATACCCAGTCAAACCCTAATATTAAATAAGTTTTCTCATCTTCTCATCTCATAGACTTCTTAAAAAAGTTGTTAAACAGATGACATAAGTCAAACCCTTATATCAAATACCCAGTTCTTACAACTTCAAGCCTCCTCTATAAATATCTTGACCTTACAACAACTCCTTTATGGATCCTGCTTTCAACCCTTCTCCCTTTTGCCTCTATCGAAGTGCTATTGGTTGCTGCTTTGGAAGCTTGTACTTGCTGCATGTCTGCGTTGTGTATAATTGTGCGTGTGGGTATAATATTGATAAGATGCGCCTCACATTCCTGAGGCCTGCGCCTTGCTTCTAGGCTCCGGGATCCCTCTGCGCCTAAGTGCACCTTGAGCCTTTAACAATTTTGGTCAGATCTATCCCTAGTTTAGATTGATATAGGTCTTTTATGTGAATGATAGAACATGCTAATGTAGGTCATTCAAAGCTCCCACACAGGCCCACACAACGTTAAATGGGAGGAAACAGTGTCAACAGAGGTTGTGATCTCATTAGTTTGTTGCTGGTTAGAGTTTTGTAGTGGCAAGTGGAAGGTGGTTGTAACAACAGGTTTTGGCAAGGGTGTCACCGACTGTTTGAAAAAAATGCAAAGGTTCCTGAGGATTAAGATCTGGTAGAGAAGGGTTCCAAGAAGCGTTGCGATGATCCTTAGGGAATCTTTGTAGTGATTGAAATCAATTTTTGAAGACCAACATTTCATGAGAACTCGGAACACAGATATCATTATAGTGGAACCTTCTTAACCTTTTATACAGAGTCAACAGTCGAAGCAAATAGGGAAGGGATCACATTTGCTACTTCATGTTTTTTTGGATAAAGTTCCACTTCATGTTCTACCTTGCTCTATTGCATTCTTATCAGTACTAGTTGACTACATTTTTATGAATTTTCAATCTTAAATTTCACGTGTCATTCTTACTTTTAATTTTAATAATGGCAGTGAGTCTGAAATTGATGTATTTGAGGAACTTGATAAAAAGAGGCAGGAAGAAGAGCTGGTATACCTCTTAAGATTTTATCCGATTTGTTGCCTTAGGTAAAAAAGGCCTGCTTTATCTCTTTCTTGTGTTCAATTAACAATAATAGGTATATTGTGCAGGTTGTATGGAAAAAATTGGTATTAGAACAAGGGGGGATAAGTAGTGAACCCATACCTCCTCTTCCTTCTCGGCTTGTGACAGATGATGAATTGAAATCCTTCTGTGAAGCTATGAAGGCAATTGAAGTTCCCAAACCTGTGGTTGTACCTGGTATTGGGGGTAAAAGGAAGGGTGGACTTGGGAACTTCGATACTCAACAATATGGAAGGGGAAAGCGAGCAAGAGAGGTTATTGTTGTTTTTCATGTTGTTCATCTTGTAATTGTCGTTATGCATATGCCGTTTTATTTCCATCTTCTGATGTTTGTTGTTGTCTTTTTGGTACTCCGAGTAGGTGCGTTCTTATGAGGAGCAATGGACAGAAGATGAATTTGAGAAGCTGTGCCAAGTTGATCCACCCGATTCCCCCAACGCGAAGGAAGAACTGAAAGAAAGAGACTTGGCTATAGTCACAAGCGAATCTGGCATTGTTATTGGTGCAGAAGGAGGCTTGCCCAGCATACAGACAATACAGCCTTCTGAAGATCTCGCCATTCAACAAATCAAGGAGGTAAATCCACCATCAAAACGGGGTCGTGGGAGGCCTAAAAAGAACACGGCAGGAATTTCTTCATCTTCATTGGTTCTTCCGTCTTCTTCAGTACCTCATATTGCTAGAAGTGTTGCTCCAACGGTTCACCCATTGGGTATACAAAATGCACCTGCTTCTCAGTTGACAGTTATCGTCCCTTCTGGTTCCAGTTCACCGTCTGACGGTGGTCAGTCAACGGTTGCTTTGGCTTCTGCCTCTAATGCGACACTGACTGTGCCTCCTGGTTTTCAGCCAACAGCAAATCATCCTCCTGGTTTTCAGGCAACAGCCAGTTCCCCTCTTGGTTATAAATCAGTGACCACTCCCCCTCCAGGATACCAGAAAATGAGCAGCCCCCCTGGTTATCAGCAGATAGCTCCTGCACCCCCTGGGTTCCAACCCTTGACCACTTCACCTGCTCCTCTGGTAGGCTCACAGGTTACAGCTTCTCTAGTTTCTGCCCCTCTATCAACCCCCAGTCTCCCTGCTGGTTCTCAATCAACCCCTACTATCCCTGCTGGACCCCAGTTAATAGCTGCGTCTCCTCCCAACCATAATATACCACCAGCTTCTCAGTCGAACTCTGCACAGTATTCTAGCTCCATTTCCAACACTAATCTCCCTCCTGGCACTCATTCTAGTGCCACCTTACCTGTGGGTTCTGTCTCGCTGCCAATGCTCCCGCCATCCTCTCCCGACTCTCAGTCTGCTGTATCTCCTTCTATAGTGACACCTGGGAGAGGTCGGGGTCGGGGTCGGGGTCGACCACGAGGTCGAGGTAGAGGTCGTGGTCAAATAATTGAAAGCGGAGTTGATGTGCCTCAACGTAGGGGTAGAAAGCCAAATAATGTGGTATTAGCTATTCCGGGTCTTCGGGCGTCTTCTCCAGTCAGCAAGCCTGAAACAGGTTCCCTAGTGGTTCCTGCTACTACTTCTGAAATTCAAAATCAGCCTTTAGTTTCTGACGCTACTGCTGTAAATGTTGTCAGTAACATACCAACTCCAGGGACTGTTGGTACTCCAGTAACTGTATCCCCTCCTGAAACCTCCAAATCAGATATAGCATTACCAAAAACATCAGTCCCTGCTACGTCTTTTGCTGCCTCTTCTATTTTTGCTGACCCTGGTGAGACTCTGGTAGATCCTGATGTGGGGACTACTCAGATGCCGCTTTCTGTTTCTGTTGGTTCTCAGCCCACTGAGCTTGGAACTTTGAGTTCTCAGATAGCCGCCCCAATTGTCACTGTTCCGCTTGATTCTCGTTCTGTGTCTCCTTCTGATACTGCATTGAAGCAAGGTAGAGGGCGAGGAAGAAAGGCTCAAAGTGGATTGGAGGTACCCCGTCGCAAGGAAAAGAAGAAAGAGGAGATGGTAGATGCTCAGGAGCAAAAATCTACCAGACCAGCACAGAAGAAATCACGTATTTCTTCTGGTAGAAAAACTGTTGCTACAAGAAGTATGTTACGAAATGAAGCTCAGAAGAAAGCTTCTACAACAGATGATCATTTCAGCCAAGGTTCTAAACTAGCTGAACCGTCACTGAACTCTTCCCTGAATGTAAAAGAACAATTAAGCGCATTAGCAGAAGCTGACAAGTCTGCTGATACTAGCACAATGGATAATAGCACAAGTAACCATGGAGAGAAGGTTGTGGAAGCAAAAGATATTTCAGTGGCAACTGAAACAGGGTCAAAGACTCATGATGCTGTTGAAAAGACTGAGCCTAACTCTTCTTTGAATGAGAAAGAACAACCAAGCACATTTGCAGAAGTTGATATGTTAAGTTCTGCTGATACTAGCACAGTAGATAATAGCATAAATGACCATGGGGAGAAGGTCGTGGAACCAAAAGGCTTATCTGTGGCTACTGAAGCAGGGTCAAAGACTCACGATTCTGTTCAAAAGACGCAGCCGAAAGATGAACCGGATCCCAATAAATTAGTTTATTTGGAGGTGAGTACACACATATTTCTTGCTTTAGCTAATCTGAAAACTTATAATAATTGACTATGAAAACTTAAATGCTGAATTTTGCTGGAGAATCTGTAATCATGCTGATTCAGTCTTGCTATATATATATCCTTTCTTAATCTGGAGATAGTCCTTCTTTGAGTTATTTTTCTTTGGACAAGAAACAGAGAGTATTCTTTTCTTGACAGGTTATAATCCGTTCATTCTGCAAGAGTTTCGCATTAGTAGAAGTAGGCGTTTATTTGACAAATGTTTAAAATACCCATGCACATCCCCATGGCAGAGACCTCAGAGGCCATGGCTTATGTGTTGAAATCCCCTTCCCTCCATGGTTTCTCAAAAACAAAACCAAAAATGTTGTCAATGTCAGAATTTTTTCGGAGCAGAATGAATCACAACTGCTTTTCTATAATTACTCAGTGCAAGTGGTAACTTGAGTTGAAATTTTTCCAAAGTGAACTTGTTGCATTCTTCCGGTAAAGAAGGACCACTACCTAATATAGTTTAGTGGAGTGCACTGCATGATAGATCTCAAAATCTTCTCCCTGAAAGTTGAAAAACTCATGACATTTATACTTCCAGAGTTCATGAAGACTTGCCAAGAAAGTTGAAACGCATAGTTTGTCTATTTTATTCCCTTGTCTGTATATCGTGTCGTCTTCTATTGTTTCTTGAATGTTGGTAATAGGGCCTTCTAACCAGTCTATATTTTATACCAATAATGTCGTGACTTTTTCACTGGGCTTTCTGGAATATGGACTTACGATGGTATCTTATGGTATTATGCAACATTTTCTTTGATATTATTAGACTTGCTTGGCAGTACATTCTCAAGTCTGTTTTACAACCTTGTGATGTTGCATGCTTGCCTTTTTTTTCGGTTTAAAGATTTACAATCTTGTGTTTTAAGGTTATTTTTGTCTAAGCTCTCACTTTTACACCTGATATTTTTAACGGGTTGTGCAGGAAAAACGAGAATCCAAATTGGAGACTCTAGATGGGAGAGAGCCCAAATCTTCTAAAGAGGTTGAGAAGAGGTCCCACAGTGGGGATTGCTTGCCTCAAGAAGTTGAGGTATCCAAGGCTGAAACTGAGCATGAGGAACGAGTAACAGAGGGCAGTGCTTCAGAAGACGCTGGCAAGGATAACATAGCTGAAGCTGGTGTGGCTGAAAGTGAACTTTGTGCTCAAAAGAAGGTTTCTAATCTAATTGCTTTTCACTTCTTAGCTTTTTATTCAACGTGTATGTAGCTTCCTTATCTTCATAGTGATTGATTTATGGATCTGCAGACTGAAGAACAAGATCCTGGAATCAATGATGAAGACACTCTGGAGGCCATGGTGGCTAACCCTGCTGAAGAAGTTGTTGCATCTGTTCATGGAGAAACTGAAGCAATGGCTGCTGTTGAAGAAAATGTGGTTGAAATTGTGCAGAAGGTACTGATTCCTATTCTGCAGGTCGTAATTTAACGATGTAACATGTATGCTTTTATATTTGTGTTGTATGTTTATGTGCAACGGTCTTGTGTATATAAAGGTGCAGAGTGATACCGAGAGCACTGCGATCACTGTTGTTGACTCCCAACTGCAAACTGAAGCCACTTCCCCTAAAAAGTTAGAAGGGATCTCTCAGGGAGAACTTGAGCATGAGGAGAAGGAGCAAGGAGCTAATGAACCCATAGGGGAGGACGTGGATAATACTGGCAATACATCATCAGAGCTTGCCATAATGCAGGTTAAAGTCAAGCAAACTTCACTTATTTAGTTCATAAAGAATTTTGAGACTTAGATTTTCAGGTTAGTGGGAGGGTGGTTTATTTGTGTATATCTTTCTACTTGTATTGTTATAGCCATGTCTGAGTGTTATCAGAAGGTCTAAAGGTGGCCTAGGCACAAGACACGGTCTGTATCTAATTAAGTAAGGCCCCACGGCATATGGAAACTTCCAAAAGATTAAGGTGGTGATTGGTGAAGACTGAAGAGTCATATATACTTGAAATTGAGTTTATTGTTGTTAACAGGAGCTAATATTGACATTAACATATTGTATCAAGAATTATGGGAATTCATGTAAGACTCACCGATTAACAATTTTACAAGCCACAAACAATTATTAATCTAGGAATATCAATACTAAAATTTTAATGCATCGGTTGACCACTGACATTAGCTAGTTGAAGAATCATCAATTGAAATTTACGGCAAGCTATCTTCATGCATCAAATCAACCTAAATCCCATAAAAAGTAACCATATGGAGGAGGTGAAAGATGAAATAGATTACTATATTTACTGAAAAGGTTTTTATTGTGTTTGGAATTTATTTAAATAAAAAAGGTCTAAAATAATTTTTTTTGATTAATTAAAAGTTGCTTGAAAAACCAACTTGCATCTTGCTTCAATGAAATACATACCTCGGATGCCTCACACCTTGCACATCATATCCCAAGATGCATGCCTCGTTGAAGCCCACAGACTTTACCCAAGGAGAAGGGCCAAAGTTCTTTGTTTAACTATGAACTGTGCAGGGTGAGAGAGAATGTATTGCAACCACTGAAGGAAGAAGCCTGGTAGATGGAGATGCCCAATCCTTCAGTGAGGTTGCGGATGCCTTTCAGGAAGGAACCAGAAGTGACAATAAAAGGGCATTGGAAGCCAGTGGTGTATCAGATGATGTTGGGAAGAATGTATTTGGAGATGAGAAGACGCCAAGTGATCCTCCTGTCGAAAAAGTAAATTAGAAAAATTCTGCCTTTCAAATATGTTTTTATATCCATCATGTGTAACATTGTATTTTCTTGCTGTTGTATGAGCTGTCTCTTACCATATCCTTTTTCTGCCGATGAACCTTGTAGGTTGAACGGGAGGATTCTGACGTTGTAGGCACTCCGATGACAGGAGAAAAATCGGAAAAGGTCAAGGATGCTTCCCAAGGGGAAATTGAACACGAGAAACCAGAAGATGATGTTGGCATTGCAACAAATGCAGTTGATTATGTGGAGACAGCATCAGAGCTTCCTGTTGGCTTGGTATCAAATTTCGCTTTGTAGCGACTTTATGTGTTTGAGTTTGTGACAGGTGTCTGCTCATTTATTTGTGTATAAGCTTAAGTCTCAATTATTTAAATCGTTCAGGGTGTCGAAACGAGTAATGCAGTGGACACAAATGTCAAACCCTCTGAAATGGGAGAAAGTGAAAATGAGAAACAGGATGCATCCGGTGGCATTAAGGAGAATGCAACTGAAGAGGAGCAGACAACAATAGCACTTCCTGTGATACTGGTAAATCAAGCTGTCCTTGAGTTCTCTCCTAAATATTTATCGGGTTTTATTGTTTATGCTTTCTATTTCTTTTCTTATTTATGATCTGTGTAGGGGGATAGAGAAGATGACAAAAACACTGATGGAGGCCCACTGGTGGAGATAGATAAAGAATCCTCTGAAAAGATGGATGATGTTCTCATGGGAGAAACGGAAGTGAACACAAGTGAGGTGGGAGGTGAAGATGGTGCAGGTGGCATTGAGAAGGATGTGACTGAGGTGGGAGGTGAAGATGGTGCAGGTGGCATTGAGAAGGATGTGACTGAAGATGACCAATCGTTTCCTGCTGCACAGGTAAAAAAGCTCACCTTAGTCTGTTAGCTTCATTATGGTTGTATACGAGTATTATGTGTCCCATTAACGGATATGACATACTTGTTTATTTAGTTCTGTTCTTATCCTTAATTTATGGACGATGTAGGAGGAAATAGAAGCTTCTGAAACCATTGATTCTAAAAAGGAAAATGATGACACACATGGAGAGACTGTAAATGAAGCTGAGCAGAGAAAAAATGTGATCCCTCTTGTACAGGTAAAGCAGAGCTTTGTTTCTTTGTTTTTTTTTTGTTAAAAATGTATCAACCCGTAAAATTCATGGTTGTGATTATTTAATTTTATTTTTTACGTCTTTTAAACTAAAACAGGATGTAATAGAAGGCAATCTAGATACCGATACAGAAAATCTGCAAGTAGAAATTGAATGTGGGAAGCAGAAAGATGAGGTAAATGTGATTGGAGGGGTCCAAACTACTACTACTACTACTACTGTTTCGTTGGTGTAGAATAATATTATTTTGTTTCTATTCTTATTTGGTTTTTCAGATGTTGCAGGGTGAAGCTGAAATGATTAACGAAAAATCTCAACAGGCTAAACTCTCCCATGAAGTAGATAACGATCACGAATCGACAATAAAAGAGCTTCCAGTTGCTGTAGTAGCAGCAGCAGCAGAGGTGGAAGGTTCAACAGATGTTGAAAAATTAGCTACAACAGACGACACCAATGACTTGATTGTAGAAAAACCAGATATTGTTGCAGAAATATCAGATTCTAGGTTGGTCAAAGAACATGAGAATGAGAAAATTGAGGAATCTGAAAATGGCGGTGTTGCTACAGATGAAGCAGAAGTTGCTGCAAATAGCTCAGAGGCCACGGAATCGAAAGAAAACAAGACAGAAGATGTTGGTGAAGAAGAAAAGGAACTTAAGCCTTGTGAAACAGACAAAAATGAAGATGGTGATAGGGGTATGGATGATTCTAAAAGTGGGGTGGAATTGGATATGAAAGAAGAAAAACAAGAAGTTGGTGCTCCATAAACAGAAACAAGCAGGGTAAAGATATTCAATGAAGTGAAAGCAAACAAACAAAAAACAGAGCATTGGATGGAAGTAATTATTTAGTATAATTAGCTTCTAGTATTGGTAGCTGTATCATGCATATATATATATATATATATATATATATATATATATAACTGCTCCTCAATATGATGCTTAGAGTCTCTTTTTTGGTTAAGCCATATATATATTTATATATATATATATATATATAGTATATATATGTTAGCTTCTTACACATCATCATAATATATCATGTCTAGTTGTGGTTACATTTCTCACTATCTATATGTGGAATTTACTTATTTGACAGTTTTATCCTTAATGATAATAGGGAGTAACCATTTTCTCCATCTTATAATTAAGGGGAGAATTGGAGAGTTAGGGGCCGTTTAGCAAATGCTTACCCGGGTTAGTGCTTACCAAGTCATGTTACCATACCGGATGAATATGAAAAAGACCAAAATTCTTACCCGGTAAATACGAGACAAGGATCATGAATCTTACTCGGTAAATGAGGGCGGCGACTCTTACTAAAGTAAGCATTTACCGGGTAAATTGTTGCATATGATGTCGTTTTGGTGGACTAAAATCTTATCCGTACGTAAATAATAGTGTTAAATTTTACCGGTAAACACTTACCGGGTAAGTGTTTGGTAAACGGCCCGTTGGATACTTCTAAAATAGATACTTATAGACAAATTAAAATTTGTGGAGATATAAAATCCTCATCCTCTTCTTGTTGTACGTTGATCATTCTCTTCTTCCTTTACATTGATATTTTTATTTTCATTAAACCAAGGTTTCTTTTAATATTTATAATAAAGTATCACAAACTATGAAAAACTTTCGAAGTTGATGTGAATCAATATAAGATTGAGGGAGTATGAAGGAACTAAATTTTATTCCTTTCAAAGTTGGATCAAAAGAATACCAAATGAATGAGAATAAGCTTGGTTTTTGGATAGCATAAGAGTAGTTGGCATGGTCTAATTTGAAATGTTTAGGCACATAAGGTGAATTAATTGTTTGCTGAGTTATACCTAAGACAGACTAAACATCAGTATACCTCACTTAAAGATAAGGTCTAGAAAAGGTACAATGGATGCAGATCTTTCTTCCGTTCTTAGAATTAAAGCCGTTGTTTCATGAAAAAAAGTACAAGTCACTTTGAGTGTTGTTTCTATATGAATAAGATCGAGTATCGGACAACGGTCAATGTAATTGTATACTTTTCTCAACCACAATATAATGTAAGTACCATTATCTTATTCATGGGGACCGAACTATCAAGAAACAGGGTTTTTAAGAACTTGAAGTAATGCAAATTTCAATTAGAAAGAAGTAAATATTTTTGGACGTCTGTAGAATACAATACTTTTACAGATAAAAAAAAGTTTGATACATATGCAAGCTTTGCTTAAAGAGTTTGTCAAGCTTAGTGGTTATGTTTATATTGATAGTGACCAGTCCAAAAAGGTGTGACCTCAACAACATTCATTTTTGTCTAAATTTCAAGGTAAATGGCCTTCTGTGCGATATTTCATTAAATGACCCTTTCGAGACCTTAGTTAATCTAAACTTCATGTGTCCGCCTCTTTGACAGTGATCACAATTGTTGCTAGTGAGTTTGCCAGCCAAGGCTTCCGAGATCTTAAGAACAATCAATATTGTGAGCACGTTCATATTCCTATGCAAGGTTATAACTCTATACATACAATAGATCGTTTGTTGTTCATGCTATGCAAGAATCCATATTCATATGTGATAACTCTCATTTTGAATGTTTTATGTGTTTTTCTTCCTTTTTAGTGTGTGTTTCCTCCTTACCTCTCCGTGTTTCTTCTTTTTATTAATTTATTTTTATTTGGAGCTGTTGATGACGTTTTTATGGTTATACACATCATATTTAGAGCTGTTGAGGATTTGTTCATCCAAAAAATGCCTACCTAAAAAGCTTAAATAATGGAAAACGAAGTTTGAGCTTTCATGAAAGAATAGAGGAAGAAGGCAAGGAACCTTTGGGTCAAAGAAGGCTTGAGCTTATTAAAAGCTTTTGTGGGTAGAACCCTCCACTACCCTTTCATCCTCCACTGTATAAAGAGACGTTGGATTTCATTTGAGAAGGAGACTCTCTAACAATGTAGAAAGCTCCAACCACTTCTCTTTCTATTTTATTTTCTTAGATAGTTGTAGTTGTAATTTACTTTCAATTATGTAATTTCCAGCATTGTTCGCCACTATGGCGACATAAATGGCCACAATTTGTAGTTTATTTCTTAATGCAAGTAATCTTTAAGTATTCTTATTCTTCTATTATATTCTTTACTTTTAAGTATTAGCTAATCACCCTTTCGGGTGTGGGTATGAGTCAAAACTAAGACTAGTAGGCAACGCCTGGGTGTTGCCATTTTTACTAACTCTTAGACTTGGTTACTTGAGTCGGGACAATAAGCCAATCACTTGTAAGTGTTAATATTAGATCTTAGACCTAGAGATGGGAGTATCCGGAAATACGACTTGATTGATGCAAGAATATTTGAGAAAGTCTTTTATGACCATGTAGAGATACGGGTTCTGCATGATTTTGACTAATGTTCAAATGTTGGTTGGGATTAGTGCTACAAAGAGATTTGAGTATTGGTCCCCACACCGGTAGAACTACGACTCTTGGAAGTCAACTTAGTTGGATCGACAAGTTGTTAGTTGACCAAAGTGGTGACTTTGTGGGAACATGTGGCTACTCTCTATGGAAGTTCACTTTTGAGAGATAGGGAATTTTATAGATATCTTTGTGGCAAATATCTTTGACCATATCATAACTATAAATGTCTTAGTGAAAGCTTGCGCATATACCTTTTTCTTTCAATTTAATTGTTAAAACCGTCAAACTCACTCAAAGATATTTTCTTTTTCTCTAATTCAAATCTTTGTATTCTCAACTTAGTACTCAAAACCCTGAAGTCCGATCCCTGTGGATACAATCTTGGTATTACCAGCACTCTATTACTTATAGCGATCAAAGACTCAAAGTGTTCAGTGTGCACTTGCACCACAACTGTGGCAAGATAGGTGGCCACTTCTATGGACCTATACGATTTCCGGTATCAAGTTTTGGTGCTGTTGCTATGGATTGGCGTATTTCTAGAGTTTCTTGAGTCATAAGTTGAGTCTTTCATTGGTTTATCTTTCACCTTAATGGAATGTTTTAGTTGAGATTCCAAATTCTAATACTTCTGGTTATTCATGGGAACAATATTCTAATTTTTTTGATAGATATTCAAGATGATGATACCTACACTTCATTTTCACCTCTCTATCAAGACTGGAATGACACGTTTATGAATACATTTGACCAATCATGGGAAAGGAACTTTGATTACTCTCGTGATTTTGAAGAGAGTGAATTCACATATTTTATTTTCAACAACCCACCTGAGCATGCTTTTGAGTAACGCGAACCATCTTACTGTTTAGAAACATTTTCCCCAAGCTTAATGGAAGGCTTTACATTATTTATGTAAAATTTAATATCTTTTGAAGTCTTGAATACTAAGATGGGACAACTAGTAGACGAAATGAAATATCAAAGTCAAGGTCCCTTACCAAGTGATAATGAAAAATTAAAATGTGCTGGTAAGGATGAGAGTGATGTTAAGAAAGAGTTACAGATTTTAAAGGAAAAATCTGAGCATATGAACAAGCCTTCTTTACTTCCCAATAGTGAAGGAGTGCTTCAAGATGCAGAAATTCCTAATTTTAATAATTTTACTCATGTTGTGTAGCCTTCTTTTTGTGACCACAATGCCCCTACGTGAGTCAATGACAAACCGTAAGGAGGATTTGTGTGATGAAAAGCTTGGGAACTTTTCCTAGATCGTGTTCTTTGGGTGGTGGAGTTGTTGCATAAAACTTTGGTATGGTAGAGGTGGATCTTGAAACTACTACACTTTTTGAAGATGCATTCGTGGGGTGGTGAATCGCATCCTACATAACCTTGATGCAAATTTGTTTTCTTACTCTCAAATCCAATTTTTTCGCTTTATTTTAAATTTTTGTGTGTGATTTAAGTCTGTTCTTTTTCGACTAGTATCACTTTTTTGGGATAAAAAAGCACAAAAAAGCAAAAAAAAAAAAAAAACAAAACAAAAAGAGTTAAGAGTCTCATGCATCTTATATCCTTGGATTTTTTGTTTCATAGTTTGAATAATCTATCCACTATTAGCAGATTTCTAGAACTAAGCAATCAATTCCCCAGTATCCATATTGAACTAACTTTGAAACTCTAGAAATGACATAAGCTGTCATTATTAAACACGTGGTCGATACATATTTTCTCTTTGTTACCTTACCCAACCGTGATTTTGGATATTCGCACCACAATAAAGACAGATGGGTTTTAATATGAATTCGTAACCGTTGAAATGCAGCAGATATATATATTTTGGTTACAAAACTAGAAAACATTTGTTAAACAAAATCCAAGCCGGATCCAATGACAATTTAATATGAATGTTATAATACAAACACACCATAGGGTGTTTAGGGATGCACCTTTCGGGATTTGTCGTGGTTGAACGGAGAACTTAGAAATCAAAGTATATTTTCTCTAACAATATCCACATAAGAACACGTGTAGTTCCACCTGATGCTAGCCAAAAAGAACCATAATTCTAATATGTGTATCACAAAAAGGAAAACGTTTATTTTTCTGTGTTTAATAGCCAAATCTAAAATAATGAATTGCCCCAAAATTTGATTTGGCCAAACACCCTATTTATATGGACTGGTATTAATGATGGCCCATAACTCAAATAAGGTTTGACGTTTATCTGTAAATAATTGGATAATTATCTAAAACATTAATAATTATATTTATTTACAGATAACACGCTATAATTATTATAATTTCATTTCAACACATATTTTATAGTTATTTTTCAAGAATAATTATTTAGCTGTCAAAAATGACTTTTTTGGGTTTCTTTCTAATGGAAGCAAACGTATTCTTTTGTGTGCGACCCTTTAGATTCACATACTCTTTAGTAGCATTTCTGTATGACACC